CCAGGGTGTTCTATCTGCCCCCTGTGGGTGGAAGGCCAGGCCAGAATCATGCTCTCCGCCTTCACCCAGGCCCAGCCGCTGAGCTGGCTCTGAGCACAGGCTCCTTCTCTCTCCAGGACCTTGGCCTTACCCTGCAATCTGGCCTCTAAGGACACCCCACCCCACTTGCCAGACATGTCTGCATATATCTAAAGCCCAACAGTGGACCAAATGGGGCCTTGGTATTCTCTCAGAAACAGAGCATGCTGGGTGACTCAGGAGAGGACTCATCCAGTCCTATATATGAGAATGTCCACTCTGGCCCAGCCAAGACTCTTTCCAAGCATCTTTATTGTTGCCACTGCCATCGTTATCATTATTCCTATTGTATAGGTAAGGAAACTGAGACCCAGAGGGAGAAATGACTTGGCCCAGGCCTCACAGGAAGTGTGACTTGCATTCCCACAAAGGAAGGTGGCTTACTGTCAGTAGGAAAGAGCAGAAGAAGGATGGGACCTTTGTTCATGCTGTTCCCTCTGTGTGGAATGCCATTCCCTGCATTGTCAACCAGGTGAACTCCTGGCTATCCTCCAAAACTCAGCTCATCCCCTTCTGGGTGTCTTTCTGATATGCTACACCCCTATAGGATACAGCCAGATTCCAGCAGTTTCTTGCATGAGACCAACCTGCCCAGACTTCATGCATAGACAGGGAACCGAAATCTCTGAGAGGGAAGGACCTGCCTGAACTCATGGAGAGACTCAGCCCAGAGACTGGCTCCCAAGGATTACCCTGGCTGCCTGCAGGTGAGCTCACCTCATGCCCTGGAGGTGGCCCGGGACTGGGGTTGCAGGGTGGGAAGCTCTGACCTGAGCCTGCTGTCACTGGATGTCTCGTCCAATTAGGAGACAATTGAGGAATTCCCACTGCCCACCTGTATTTTTCAGGTGGCCCTAACATAGTGCAGTCCCACCCCTGACTTCAAAGGTCCTAGGATACCTTCAGGATACCTTCAGGCCCTCTTGCTGCTGCCTGCAATGCTGTCCCTTTCCCAGAACTCTGGCCATGGCATTTCTGGTGCCACTCCCCAGGCCCAGCCTGAGACCCAGGTGTGCCTCCAGCTGGCCACATGGGGGCCAGGGTGCAGCCCCGCAGGAATGGGGTCCTGAGGACTGATTTGTGGGTGAAGCTCTGGGAGGCTGGGAAGGGCCAGGAGCCTCCCTCCAGTTTTGGGTCATGGGTCACAGAGAGCCTGACAGGGGCTTGCTCAGTCACACTGGGCAGATTCCTCCCAGCCCTTGAGGTGGTGACTTTAGGCAGCACCCACCCCAGGGGGTGGTCCTAACAGAGACTGGACTCCTGGGGGCTCACCCTGGCTCTGCCTCATACCTTGCCTGCCACATAGAGGTCCCCTCAGGAGGCGGGGGCCAGGCAGGGGTGATAGGACTCTGACCACCCACCCACCCACTCAACTTAGCTGCTCTGAGGCCCCTGTGGTGCTTCTAAGTCTGCTTGGAGGGCTGCCTGGTCTCCTAAGAGGCCTGGGGGCCCAATTCCCCCTCACTGCTTATCTCATCCAAGGGGAGTGATGGCCTGGCTCAGAGTCTTCACTTGCTTGGGGCTCTGAATGGTGTTGGGGTATGATGGGACCTGGAGACGAGGGAGAAAGATGGCCTGGGTGCTGACCCTCCATGGTGGGGGTAGGCTCGACACCTCAAGCCCTTTACCCTGCCAGCTTCACTATACCTGGAGGCTGAGTCAGCGGCAGGTGAGGCCTGGAGTCTGGTCAGGGGGAGGCCTGTGCACGCGGACCAGCCATAGCATCTGGAGTGCAGGCCCGAGGATGGAGGGGGCTTGTGTGGCATCCGACCAAGAGCAGCTCTGGACCCTGTCATCTCTCTTACCACAGTCTGAAGCTGTTACCCTGCAAGACCCCCTCCCTCTGGCCATCCCTTGCTGGCCTTGCCGCCCATTAGAACCCCAGTCCCTCCACCTACATCAGCCTCTGAGATCTCTCAACTCCAGCAAAGTGCATTCTAGACATGAGGGCACGTTCTGGAGTGGGAAGGACAACTCGGAGGCCAGTGGATTTAGCTATGAGTCCGGCTCTGTCATCTCTGTGTGTGTGGCCTCAGGCAAGGCACCCTCCCCTCTGATCCTCTGATTCTCAGTGTCCTCATCTGTAGAATGGAGGTCCACTCAGGACCCTGACGGACCATTCAGGACCCCAGAGGACTGTTCAGATGCTTGAGGGAGACGATGGATGTGAGTAAGCCTGACACAGAGGCAAGCTTAGCAAGTGTCCTCGTGGTGATGCCTGGCCAGCTGGCTGCCTTGTGCCCTGAGCCTGGTCGAAACTGTAGTCAAGGGGGCCATCTGATTCAAAGGACAGTACGGTTGTGGAGCCTGTGTCCGTATCTAGGCCAGAGAGCATTTACTGAGCCCTTGCTGTGTGTCAGGCACCATGCTAGGCACTTTACAGCTAATTATCATTCAGAGCTCACAGCAGATCTATGAAAGGGGACATGATCATTGTCCCCATTTCACAGATGGAAAAATTAAGAAACAAAGAAGCTAAATAATTTACACAAAGATACACACTCAGTAAATTGCAGAACTGAACTGGAACCCAATTAGGGTGTGTGACTATGAGTGTGTGGGACTGGCCACGTGGTGAGTAACTAAGTTTGGTGCTGGGTATACACATGCACGTCTGTTTCTACTGGAGTGGCTGCTGGTACCTCGTCCAGGTGGCTGGGCCCAGATGTGCGCATCTGACCCCACGGTCACCCCTGGTGCACACACACGCTGCTCACATGGACCTTCCTGTGACCCCGCACAGGGACGCTCCCTGGGCCCACCAGCCCTTCCCTGCAGGACCTGGCCTGTCTGAGTTTGTGGGTTCCCCCTGGCTTGCTCCCCTCAGCTCTGTGTAGCTGCTGGATCCTTAGGGCAGGGCCATCAGTCAGTCACAGATGACCTGGCAGGCCGGGGAGGGGTGTTCCACGATCAATGGCCCAGGGAAGAGAGACCAAAAAGACAGGAGGACTGAAATCCCAGCAGCGCACCCACCTTGTATGAGCGCTCCCCCTGAGTGACTGGGGTGGGGCCGGGCCATCCCCCTCCCTCCCTGTGTGGAAAAAACTCTAGAAGCTGGGGTTGGGGGCATGAGAGGGAGGGAAAGATGGCAGTGGGACAGGGTCTGAGGCCCACGCTCCAGAGCCCTCTGGCGATGGTGGCCCCCAAAGCTGGTGATGGTTCCCCCCACCCCATGGCTCCCAGGTTTGGTGCACCCTCAGGCCTGGAGGAAGAGGCCTCTCTACATCCAGCATGGTCAGATCTGGGCCCTTGATTCCCAGCCTGGGCTTGCTTGCCTCCAGGCAGCCCCTGGGGAGTCTTCCTTCCCCTCACCTCTCTGTCCATCAGTCAGCAGGTCTACCGTCTACTCTAAATCTAGAGCCAACCAGTGCCTTTCTACCTAGCTGGAAGCCACGCTGGTCCCCTCCCTGCTCTCCCTGTCCCCACTCTCACCACCACCCCCAACCAGTTCATGTCACCTGCTGGTTAAAACCTTCCCAAGGCCCTCCATTACCCTCAAGCACACACCCGCATTGCAACCCAAAAGGCCCCTCAGAGTCTGGTCTTTGCTGACCTCTCCAGCCTTTAGAACTGTTTCCTCAGTACATTTCAAGCTCCAGGCCTTTGTGTCTGCTGTTCCCTCTGCCAGGAACACCCTTTCCCGCTGCTCCCCATTCCTTGAGTCCGCTGCTCTGGCCAGCACCCTGGAGTAATCTCTGCTTGTCCTTCAGGTCTCAGCTTAGATGTCCTTCCTTCCTTCCCATGTCCCCCAGGTCAGGGCTGGCCTATGCCTCTGTGTACCTACAGTCCTCTGTGTCCCCAGTGGCACGTGGTGACTGGGGCTTGTTTACACGTCAGGCTCTCCACTCGCTTCTGGGGACAAACTTCCCTGCTGGAGAGAAGGGGAAGGGAACGGGAGGCCTTCAATGCCAGGTGAAGAACATGGACTTGCCCTAAGGGTGGCAAGGAATCACATGGAACTTTTGAGCAGGGGAGTGGCATGACTCAGGGCCCATTTGGCTTTATGTCTTTCCTTCCTGCCCAAAATGGACTTCCCTGAACAGCACTGGTGCCAACTGCAAGTGCTTTTCATGTAACTCTCAGCAGCCAGGAACTTAGTCTGCCTGAGGAAGGGTATTTGTGGGATTGGACCTGTAGGATGAGAGAGTGGGGGCAGGGAAAGTCCTTGTGATATGGATTAGAACCCAGATGTTTCGAGGGAATGGGACAATGATCCTCAAAAATAGAAATGTTTGCCCCCCCCCCAAAAAAAACCCTCTGGTTCCTTTTCACCTGTTGTAGCCTGAGTGGGTAGGCCTCTTCTTTTCTCTGTGACAAAAGCCTGACTGATGCACTAGTCCAGACACCCTCCCCCAACTGTTCTTCTGTGCCCTGGAAGGTACTGTGGGGGCTGTGCTGAGCTCCCCTAGAAGTTGGTCTCCCCAAGCTGGGAGGGGAGGGAGGATCCCAGCCAGGCCATAAAGTGTTGAAGCACTAGGGCTGGGAAACTCACATCTCATGCTAAGAGTCAGGGCTCTGGCCTAGCTGGATTCTGTTTTGTCTTGTGCAGGAGACAGGTGTGGGCAGCATGGAGAAAGCGACCTCCCTCAGCCTGAGTCAGGCTTTGGGGGTGATTACTGCTTGGGAGGCTACGATCTGTTCTAGGCTGGATCCCCTGAGGTCTCAGGACTCCCCTCTACTCCAGGACTGCCTTGTCCATCCACCCTCCTGGCTAAGGAAGACATCTGTGCCAGACTGAGCATAGGTTTGGTGGCTGAAGAGCCTGGGTTCATGTGCAGCAGCCGTGGTTCCCCGGCTCTCTGTCTTTCACTCACTCATCAAACATCCCTGACTCCGGATCCTGCCCAACCCTTGTGTGGGAGACGCAGAGTGGGGTCAGGCTGACTGCCACTCTCAGAGAGGTGAAAGAGACACAGACAAAGACGGTGCTAGCCTGCAGTGGGCTATGCTGTAATGGACACAGACTCAGGCCCAGAGAAGGCAGGGAAGGTTTCTTGGAGGAGGGGGGTCCCCTGGGGAGCTTGAAGAATGAGCTGGGACTGCCCATGAAGCAAGGGAGAAAGGCATTTCAGGAAGAGGGAGGAGTTTGTACAAAGGCCCCTGCAGAAGGAAGCAGGTGGCATTTCAACAGAGCACAATGCCATTCATAGAGGGGCTGGTTCCTTAAGGGACATGTCTATACATCAGCTTGGTTTAAGTTAAAGTTTCTTAGCAGCGGGAGAAAGAAGCTGCTTTGCTGGGACTCTGACCCCCCTCAGAGCTCCTCCTGAGCCTTTCGCATCTGCCGCCACTGGCCGATCTTGGCCGGAAGCCTCTCTGCCCAGAACTGCATTTGGGCTTCTCTCAGCTTCTGGCCAATTCGTGGTGTCAGGCTGATTTCCAAGTATTGCTCCAACTGGTTGAAGGGGGGCCACGGAGGCAGCCCCTCACCATTGGGGTCCCTGGGTGGGAGGAATGAATGAAGGCTAAGGCCTCCCGTGTTGTCCCCTGGGGGAAGATCTGAGTCATCGAGGCCCAAAGCCACATGTGCTGCTTGTCACTCACCCTGTCCGGGCAAACTGGGTCCACTGAGCCATCATGGTGAGACTCAGCTGCTTCTCCTCCTCTGTAGCTTCTGGAAAGGCTAGGGAAGGAACAGTCAGGTGGGTCGTGGAGAGAACCCAAGGGTTCCTTGCACTGACTGGAGACATGTGTGCCTACAAGCCCCAGCTTAGCCCGTTGAAGCCTGCAGCCCAAGGATCGCCTGTCTATGTGTCCTCACCCAGCAGGGAGTTCTCGTCCGTAAGGAAAGGACCCCCGAACATGAAGGCTATCTCAGCCCCATGGTCAGCCTTCACCCACTCCGGCTTGATCTTCGTGAAAGAACTGGGTCGATGCTGGAACTCATAGAAAAAGATGGGGACTCCAGAATCTGTGGAAAGAGGGCTGCCTCAGGGTTAGGTATCGTCAGCCTGATCGGGTCCTGCCTTTGGCAGGCCCGGCTTGTAGTAACACCAATCCCAGTAATGATACTGATGATGACAATGTCATTATCAGCAAGCATTTCCTGAGCACTTGCTGGCTGCCACACACCATTCCACGTGCTTTCTGTGTCACCACTCATTTCACCCTCCTGACAACAGACGAATTAGAGTCTGTTACTGTTGCCATTTTACAAATGAGGAAACTGAGGTACAGAGGGGATAGGCATCTTGCTCAAGGTCACAAAGATAGGAGCTTGGAGTTGTTTGAGGGCTATGTCAGGGACTAGCCACCAGGCTTGGAGGAAGCAAGACTTTTCTCCCAGGAGAAGTGCTGAATGTGGGAAAAATCACTCATGAGTCAAATGAATCCCTGAGAATTGGTGATGAGCCCGGCTGGGTGACCTTTGATGAGTCACTGCACCTCTCTGAGCCTTGGTTTACTCGCCCGCAGAGTGACCTGCCAGAGTCCCATCTGCATCCCAGAGAGGAAGCGGGGAATGGAGGCAGCGGCAGGGTGTGGGCCATGTCGCCTGTGATAACCCAGCTCCTGGTCCAAAATGGAAAGGGTGGGGCAGGTGACCAGGGATAGACTTACCTCGGAGGTTTCTAGAGAAATTCAAGGAGGGTAAGATAATGGTGATGTCAGCCAGAATGTCCTGGAAGGCGTTGCGTTTGGCTTCTGTGTCGGAACTGCTGCCTAGGTATTCATCTGTGATGCTGGGCATCACCTCAGGGGGCACATCCTGGGGCAGGAGGCCAGACTCAGTCCCACTCAGGTTCCGGAAGCCCCAGGAGACCCTCCCAAGAAGCCCCACACCCACCAGCATGGCCTCTTTCATATCCCAAGACTCATGTGCCCAGAAACCCTCCCTCCCTTGGGGGTTCTAGATAGTGTCTGGGCAGGATCAGGTCAGATCTGGAGCCAGAATGCCAGCTCTGCGATTGCTGCTTGGCTGTGTGATCTCAGCTAGAGCCTCCCTGAAAATTAGTTCCTGCCTGGCAGTGTTGTTTGGCAGCCTACGTGAAGTTCCTAGCTAAGGATTCTGGTCTTGAGGGATTGCCCGGTTGAAGTTAACCAGGAAGTTAGTGAAAGAACAGATCATGGGGGCTCCCCCAGAGCTCCAGAGAACAGTAATGAGGTTGTATGAATGGGGAGAGCTCTGGGGGTTCCAAAGTAGGGAGCGAAATATGCCTAGATCGAGCACTCTCTGAATACTAACTCCCAGTAGACTTTTCAAATACAGCACCCAGTTTCCTTGGGTGGGAAGTATATCCTCATTTACAGATGAAGAAATGGGCTCAACGGCTAACTGTGGACAAGTGACCAGGGTTGGGTTTGGACTTCGGGTCCAACTGGCTCCACATCTGACAGGATGATCTTAACAGCTGAAGCTCTGGGATCAGACAGACCTGGCAGAAGCTCTGCCTCTGCCCTTTACTTATCATGAGACCTGGAACCTTGGTTTCCTCATCTGTAAAATGGAGATAATGAAAATTTCTATTTCACAGGGTTATAATGAGGATTGAAGGAGATGAATGCCTGTCCTAGGGCTCAGCACAGTCTCTGGCACATAGTATGGGCTCATTAGGGGGCAGTCTATGATGACAATGATGACGATGATCTTTCTTTGAGAACCACACCGACTCATGTGCAAGAGGATTTCTAGGTGGAACTAAAAGTCAGCAGTTGAACCAATGGGTTTGGCAGTGTGGGGGTAGCTGTGGGGGATGGAGGGTGAGGGGAGAGGAGGGTGCCCTAGTATTCTGCATAGGATACCCACCGGACTACCACTTCCTCCCTTTTGACTCACCATACTGGCCAAGGAGGGTTTCACCATGGCCAATATATCCTCCGTGCTCATCTGTTGCATCTTATCCAGGAAACCCCAGCCCTGTGGGGACATCAAGGTCCTCTCGTAACAGCCTTATCATCGCCACCCCTCACGTGCAACCACGAGCAGACAAGTGTTCACGGCCCGGTGAACAGAGCCAAATGTGACCAGGTGCTGTAGGAGGGCCCACAGGGGAAGTTAAAATGCTGTCTTTAAAATGAAATGTTGTCGGAGCGCCTGGGTGGCTCAGTTGGTTAAGTGTCTACCTTTGGCTCAGGTCATGATCCCGGGGTCCTGGGATCGAGCCCCGCATCGGGCTCCCTGTTCAATGGGAAGCCTGCTTCTCCCTCTACCACTCCCCCTGCTTGTGTTCCCTCTCTTGCTGTGTCTCTCTCTGTCAAATAAATAAATAAAATCTTTTTAAAAAATAAATAAGATAAAATGAAATGTTGTCTTTATATGTTACAGTTTTAAGGGCATAGTGTCTGGGTTCAAATCCCAGCTCTGCCACTTTCTAGGTGCATGACCTGGGCCTATTACTTAAATTCTCTGTGTCTCAGTTTCTTGATCTGTGAAACAGAAATGACAATAACCTGCCTCATAGGATTTTGAAGACTGAAGTAGCAAATACAAGGACCCTGACATTCAGTAAACACTGTGGAAACATTAGCTATTGAAGTTAGTTTCATGGCTACAAGGCTCTTTGTTAATCTTTGTGAAAACAGGAACAGAAAACCCACAGATGAGTAAACTCAACGAGTGTATACCTAAAGGGGGATGTTAATTGCACTAAAAAGTAGAGGACTAAACTAAAGGCCACAGTAGTGAAAGGTGCAAATGTCTTAAAAATGATGGTCTACAAGAACAATAGACCAAAATCAGTTGTGTTTCTACACACCAGCAACAAACATCTGAAGATCATGTGCCGAAAACAATTTCATTTACAATAGCATCAGAAACAAAATACTTAAGAATCTACTTCATTAACAAAGTGCAAGATTTGTACATTAAAAACTCAAAAACATAATTGAGGGAAATTACAGAGGACCTATGTAAATGGAGAGACATCCTATGTGCGTGGGTGAAAGACTTCATCTTGTTAAGATGGCCATACTTCCTAAACTTGTCTATAGATTCAGCGTGATCCCTATCCAAATCTCAGCCACTTTTTTTTTTTTTGGCAGAAGTTGACAAGCTGATCAGAATTCATATGGAAATGCAAGGGGCTCAGAATAACCAGAACAATTGTTAGGGACTGATTTGTATGTCCACAAAAGGGTGTGTACAGTCATGACCCCCAGGACTGCAGAATGTGACTTTATTTAGAGATAGGGCCTTTAGAGAGGTAGTCAAGATGATTACAAAGGTAATCATTAGGGTGGGCCCCAGTCCAATATGACTAGTGTCCTTGTCAAAAGGGACAATTCGGACACAGAGATGGATGGTACAGAAGGAAGACAATGTAAAGACAGAGGGAGAATGCCCTCCATAAACCAAGGAATGCCTGAAGCTGCCAGAAACTAGAGAAGAGGCATGGATTCTCACAGTACTCAGAAGGAACCAGTCCGGCTAACACCTTGATTTCAGATTTCTAGCCTCTAAAACTGTGAGGCAATTGATTTCTGTTGTTTAAGCCCCGCCCCCCGCCTTGTAGTCCTTTGTTATGACAACCCTAGCAAAGTAATGCAGCAATTTTGAAAAAGAAGAACAAAGTTGAAGGACTTATACTTCCCCATTTCAAAACTTACTACAAAACTGTAGTAATCAGGATAGTGTGGTATTGGCATAAGGACAGACATATAAATTAATGGAATAGAAGTGAGAGTCCAGAAATACATTTATGGTCAATGATTTTCAGTAAGGGCACCAAAACAATTCAATAAGGGAAGAAAGGTTTTTTAAACAAATGATTCAGGAACAGCTGGAGAACCACATGCAAAAGAATCCCTAACTTAAACCATATACTGAATTAACTTCAAATGAATCAGACCTAAATATAAGAGCTAAAACTATAAAATTCTTTGGACAAAACATAGAGGTAAATCTGGATGACTTTGGATTAAGCAATCACTTCTTAGCTATTACTCCAAAAGCACAAGCAACAAAATAGAAAATAAATCAGACGTCATCAAAATGAAAGTGTTTTATTTATTTATTTATTTTTTAAGATTTTATTTATTTACTTGAGAGAGAGAGAGAATGAGAGATAGAGAGCACGAGAGAGAAGAGGGTCAGAGGGAGAAGCAGACTCCCCGCTGAGCAGGGAGCCCGATGCGGGACTCGATCCCGGGACTCCAGGATCATGACCTGAGCCGAAGGCAGTCGCTTAACCAACTGAGCCACCCAGGTGCCCGAAAGTGTTTTTTTTTAAAGATTTGTTTATTTATTTGAGAGAGAGAGAGAGCACGAGAGGGGGGAGGGTCAGAGGGAGAAGCAGACTCCCTGCTGAACAGGGAGCCCGATGCGGGACTAGATCCTGGGACTCCAGGATCATGTCCTGAGAGCCACCTAGGCAACCCAAAATGAAAGTTTTTTGTGTTGTAAAGGATACCATAACAAAGTGAAAAGACAACCCATGGAATGGCAAAAAAGATTTGCAAATCATATATCTGATAAGGGATTTGTATCTAGAATATATGAAAAACTCTTACAATTCAACAATAAAAAGACAATGCAATTTTAAAATGGGCAAAAGATTTTAAAAGACATTTCTCCAAAGAAGATATAAAAATGGCCAATAATCACACAAAAAGATGCTCAACATCTTAAGTCATTAGGGAAGTGCAGATCAAAACCACAATGAGATACCACTTCACACCCACTCGGATGACTATAATCAAAATGAGAGCTAATGAGTGTTGGCGAGGATATGGAGTAATTGAAATCCTCATACATTGCTGGTGGGAATGTGAAATGGTGCAGCCACTTTGGAAAACAGGCAGTTCCTCAAATAATTAAACAGAGTTACTATAGGACCCAGCAATTCCGCTCCTAGGTATATAACCAAGAGAAATTAAAACATATACTTGTACATGAATGTTCATAGTAGGATTACCCATAATATCCAAAGAGGTAGAAACAACCCAAATATCTATGAACTGATGAATGGATAAACAAACTGTACCATACCCATACAAGGCACTATTCAGTCATAAAAAAGAAGGAAGTACTGATATATGCTCCAACATGGATGAACCTTGGAAACATCCTATTAGATGAAAGAGGTCAGACAAAAGAACCCCACATATTGTAGGATTCTATTTATTTGAAATGTCTAGGAGGTACCTGCCTGGCTCAGTTGGTGGAGCATGTGACTCTTGATCTCGGGGTTGTGAGTCTGAGCCTCACTTCGGGTGTAGAGATTGCTTGAAATGTCTAGAACAGGCAAATCCACAGATTTGACAAAAAGTACATTAGTGGTTGCCAGGGGCTGGGGGGAGGCGGGATGGGAAGTGACTGCTAACAGGTACGGGCTGCGTTTTAGGGTGATGCAAATGTTCTGGAATAAGATAGTGGTGATGGTTGCACAACTTTGTGGATATACTGCAACCCACCGAATTATACACTTTTTAAAAGGGTAAGTTTTATGGTATGTAAATTACATCTCAATAAAGTTGATATTTTAAAAATTATGGTCTGCAAATGCCGGTAAAGTTGTAATAAAACCTGTAGACTCAAGTTGCTGGCTGCAGTTTAAATCGGTGTAGCAATTTCACAAAGTGCTGTGCTAGTGGCAATGCATAAGAGATGGAGAGGTCTCCATAAGATGTATGGATTACTTTCCATAGCTAAAGCTGCCACCATGGACATTTAGTAAACATCTAGTTGGCTGAGAAATGTACAGTTGTGCCCATATGGATGACAGGGGGAGTAAAGAGAATGCCTGCACCAGCGAGGAGGTGAGCAGCCCCCTGAGCCTCCCAATTCCTGAGAAACATCCTTGGCTACAAAGTCCCAGGCACAGCATTCTGCACCAGGCAGGCTTGCCCGGGTCTTGGGAGCCAGCCAGGTTGGCTCTTTCTCACCGTTCAATTCATGGCTCTAAGTTGACAGTGCGCGGCTAAGAGCACAGTTTCCCCTTAACGCTCTTCTGCCATTACACACACACACACACACACACACACACACACACTGCATACACACACCTGGCCTGGAAACTTCTACAAGCTTTGTCCTTGAGTGTCAAGATTGCATGAGCCTGTCATCCAGCAAAAACCCAAATGTCCTTCCTGGAGAGCAATTCCAAAGGAAGAAATCAAAGGACAAAAGCTATGGACGTGCAGAGTGCCCTATTAGCTTCGGTCATAAAAACTAGAAAGTACCCAAGTGTGGAAATTAAGGAATATTATGATGGGACCCTCCCTTTGTGGAAGGTTTTGCAGTCATTAAAATCAATCACCGTGAGGATGAGTAGAAGGAGAATGATAGGAAAGATGCTCAGAAGGAAAGCACGATGTTAACGCTTTGTGCGGGGAGTTCTGTGCACCTGGAAGGGACTGGAAGGCACTTGGGCCATGATGGTTAGGCTTTCGGGCACAGAGTCATACTAACCAGTCTCATAGAGTTTGATGTATAAACCAGACACCAAGGCAAGAATATGCTGCGAATCAGTACTGCCCAGAAGGCTGCTTTGTGCAAAAGCATGGTCTCCAAGCTTTTGCTTTGGGAAAATTAAGCTGGGTAACCTTAAGCAAGTCCCATAAACCTCTCTGAGCTTTACTTTTTCACCTACCAAATGGGGGTGTCAGCTCATAGGTTGCAGTGTGATGTTGGGGTGGCAGAGGATTGGCTAGGGCAGGGCCTTAAAAACACAAGAGCCAGAGGACACTCACCCTGGGGATGAGCCAGCCAAACTCATGATTGTTGACACCCACGAGGAAGGGCACAGAGTGGAAGTGCCTGTCCCTCAAGAGTTCCATGGGGCTCTTGGGAAAGAAGGTGCCATCAACGGTGTAGGAAGCCGTAGTGTTCTGCGGGAGAAAGCAAGGCACGGGTCTTCCCAGTAAGGCCCATGCCTTAAAAGATGGCATCCGGGGGTCCCCCGGCTGCGTCCCTGGGTGGCTGAGCCTTAGAGGGGATAGAGGTCACCAGGGTTGGAGGACCAGGAGAAATAGGGAGACCAGGCAATGGATACTTCCAAGCAGACCTCTTTCCTAGAAGAGCTGGCCCTGCATTCATGCTCCCAGGCCTGCTTGGGCCCTCCATCCCTTCCCCTCAGGGGTGGCTGCCCCAACGCTCACCCCAGACTGCTGATTGCTTCTCTGCTCCCACAGGAGCTGGACGGACCCCTCTGCGCCATTGCCTGCCACCGCCCCCCCCGAGAGGTAGGCATACCAACTTCACGTTAAGGATCTGCTCTTTGTTTGCCGTCTGCCGAAGGCACTGCAACATCTCAGCCGAAGAGGCAGAGCTGCAGCCCAGGGAGTCCGCGAAGCTCTGGGGACAGACGAGAGCCTTGCCTCTCCCTCACCCATCAACCCCCACCTTCCAGCCCTCTGCCTCCCATACACAACGGGCATATCTGTGGGAAAGACAGGGCAGTGATGTCAGAGGTGGGGCCTCGGGACTGGCCAGAGACCTGCCACCAACCCTGAGAAGGCTTCTTTGCCCACCAGCTTGGGTGGTCCCCAGGCACCCCGTGTGTCCCCCATTACATCATGCTGTCATTATTGAGAACAGTGTCATTATCTAGTTAACCACATTCCCAGAGCCAGCGGGCTCAGTCAAGTTCTGCAGAGTGAGTTAAGGAAATGAGACAGGGTTCAGAGAGGAGGGATTCCACACGGCCAGTGCGGCAGGGAGGGGACGACAGGGGCTGCCGAGGCCTGAGTCAGGCCGGGGAGTCAGCTCCCTACTGGTGACACCCCTCTGGGACTTCAGGGCAAGCAAAGGGTGAGCTGTGGCTGGCGCATGTGGGGTGAGAGAGGCAAAGAAATGCAGACCTGAGCCAGGACCCTTGGGTTAGAATCCATTAACGTTGGCATGGTGACGATCCCACTCTGAGCTATGGCCCTGTGGAAGAGCCCTGCAGCCAGCGGGGACAGGACCTGGGTGCAGTGTGGAGGACAGGGGGCTGTCAGGGGACGGCAGAAATGCTGGGCGGTCTGGGGCCACGGGAGATACTCCGGCCAGCCTGCTGTGGTGACTCACCAGGGCAGAGACGATGCAGGCGCCAGCCGAAGCGCCTAAGATGGTGACAGAGTTGAGGTCACCTCCAAAGGGGGAGATGTTCCCCTGCACCCATTTCAAAGCAGCCACCACATCTAGGAAGCCCCAGTTGCCAGGCGCATGCTCATCCCCAGTGCTAGGGGGCAGCGGGGAGGCAGTGGTTAGCGGAGGCGGCCTGGCTTTTCCTCCGCCTTTGCAGATTTGCTCCGAACCAGCCGCCAGGACGGCAGACCCTTCCCCTTTCCCCAAGTCTGGCCTGGCTATGAGGCATGCTTTGTAGCCCCCTGCCCAGCATGTGGTGTGGGTGTGCCTAGCTGGGGGTCAGCCAGAGCTTAGTGCTCCTTGCCCCCACCCCTTACTGGGATCCAGGCCCCAGACCAGCAGTCAACACTTCCTGTTCAAAGGACGAAGTTCTCTGTATGATTCTGGCTCCGGGAGAGCCCCTTCCCCAGAGGGGAGCGATGGGGAGCCTCCTTCTCTGCTCCGTCGGCATGCGGGAAGGGTCCTTTGGTCTCCAGCCACCCTGCTTGCCTGAGAAATCTGCATTCAAGCTCTGGACCCCTACCCTAGTTCCCCAATTGCCCTCACAAGCTGACTTCTCCCCAGTGCCAGCAAAGCCCTCCCCCAGGCTGGCCACCTCACCTGAGGAAGCCAAGAAACCCCAGGCGGTACTGGACGGTGACCACTACCACATCCCCGTAGGCAGCGAGGGCTGACCCGTCTTGGGAGGTGGCAGCACCCGCCACCAGAGCGCCTCCATGGATCCACACCATGACCTGCCGAGAGGCCATGGGGCAGTGACCCCCAGCTACTGGGACACCAGCTGCCCTCCCATCAACCCAGGGTATTCTTGGGACCCCTGAGGCAGTATGAGAACGGGGTGGGAAGGGGACAGGCCAGGTGGAGCCGGATGTGCAGACAGGGCCCTCGGAGGTGCACACCGGCCGCCTGGCCCCTGCAGTGGCCTCAGCGGGGCTGTAGATGTTGAGGATCAGGCAGTCCTCTGAAACGGGGAAGAGCCGGTGCTTTCCATTCAACACAAATCTGCTGTTGTCCATTCTCTCCAGATCCTGCAGGCACCTGTGGCCAGGGATGCGCCCAAGGGCCAAGGGGTCAGCCCCCCAGCCCCGCCATCTAGATTCCTGCAACCTACCGGCTTGTCCACCTCCGAGGGGTTACTCACATCGCAGGGGCATTGCTGGCATCCCGCACACCCTCCCAGGACTGCGCTGGGCGTGCGGCTGAGAATCGGCCAGGCCCCAGAGGTGCCTGGGCGAACGGGAGGCCCAGGAAGACATTCACCAGGCGGTCTGTGCCCTTCACGGCCACCTGCCGGCCTCGCACACGGCCCAGGGGGGTGTCCACTTCAGGCTGTGTGACCCCAGGCCCTGCGGGCAGGACAGATGGCCAGTGAATGAGTTTGCAGCCTCCACAGGTGATGGTGGGGGCCGGGCAAATGGACTCACTACACATTGTTTCTTGGAGCACCTACTCTGTGAGCCCTGTTCTGAGTACTTTGCACACAGCACTGTGACTAACCTTCCCAGCAAGCCTGGGAGATGGGCCCTATGATGACCCCCCACTTTCTCCTCCCCCCTTGCAGGTCTGCCACTCTCCTCTAGGCCAAACCAATCCCCCGAGGGCGAACTAGGTTCTCCTGGGACCCACAGACCTGCTGTGGGGCTTTGGGCCTTGGGCTAGCCATTCACCCTCAGATTTCTCATCTGCTAAGTTAAATGTAATAACCATGTCTTTTCGTTTTCTTTATTTTGACACCTTGCAGACTCTGCAAGGGACTGCGGGTTCCAGGGCTGGCCAATTCTTAGAGATAGTAAACAACTCACTGAAAGGTGTCTTTCAGATGAGAACCAACCCATCCAGAGCCCGTGCCCCCAGCCACCTCCTCTGGGCTTCTCAGAGTCCCCACCACTAACCACCTGCCCTAATCACCCCAGCGGCCAGATACCAGATAATGAGGAACCGGACCATGCCCCAGAGCCCACCGAGAACATTGGAATTAGCCAATCCAGAGCCTGCTTAGCCCCCCGGCCGCTTCCTTCTGCAAACAATAAAGGCTCTTGCCCACGGGTTTTCCCTCTCCTCCTCTGCCTCCTGACTGACCCATGCTTCCCTGCATGCTGCTCGTTTCTCGGACCTGGGAGGAAGCCTTTCGTGACCCTCCCTTCTGTGTCTGTGTCTTGCTGATTAATCAAATCCTGGGTGCCCTGAAAACATAAGGACAATCATGTGCCCTGGCAGGCCTGCCCTGGAGACCACTCGCGACCGCAGTTGCAGAGCCCCAGCCCGGAAAGGATGCACACAATCCCTGGCATTTCTTGGAACTGAGGGCTTCTTCCCCGAGCAGGCTGCCCGCCACTCCCCGTCCCTGCCTCCCTCTTGCCCCTTCCACCCAAGTCCTCCCAGCAACCCTGAAGCTCCCACCTCTGCAGGCTAAGCTGGCACGTCTTACCAGGGGCTGAAGCAGGGAATGCCAGGAGCAGACAGGGCACCCACAGCAGGACCCTGGACCCACTTCTTACCACTGTCCCCATGCTCCTCACAACTAACCGGGGGCAGAAGTGGTGGAAGGTATAAGAAGGCCCTGCCCTTTGGCACAACCAATCTCTAAAGGGTTATGTTATAAAAACCTCAGTGGCCCTGCCCATCTGGCTGGTGGCCAGCCCTAAGACCCAGTACCCAGGTGGGGGAAGGAGGGCTCAGAGAGTGCACTGCAGGGGCGTGGGTGATGCGATATTTCGTGAGGGGCGGGGGGAAGGGGCGGGCAGGCAGGGGGGAAGAGAAAGAGTCTGGGCTTTGTAGCTCTGCAGCCCTGGGCTCAAATTCCAGCTCTCCTGGTTCACTGAACTCCACCAGACCGTGTGCGCTCATTACAAGAGACACACACCACTGATCTGAGGGACTGGTGGCCAGTGACTGGGCTGCAGTTCTGAGGGAGCCCATGGCTCGGGGCAGAGCTGGTGTCCAGTCCTGCAGGCCAAGGGGGTGCCTGAGCCCTGATGTTGGATGGAGGGAACTGAAGGTGATGCTCTTTGTTGTTGTTGTTGTTTTTAAATTGAGATTAAATTTATATAACTTACAATTAACTATTTTAAAGTATATAATTCGGTGGCACTTAAGCGTATTTGCAATTTTGTGCAATTACCACATCTCTGTAGTTACAAAACTCTTTCATTGCCTCAGCAAAATATCCCACACCTGTTCAATAATCGCTCCCGTTGTTACACGCCCCCATCCCCTGATAACCTGATAACCATTCGTCTGCTTTCTGCCTCCCCGGATTTTACCTACTCAGGATATAGCACATAATAATAATCAGCCAGACACAAAGGTCACACCCTTTGTGTCTGGCTTCCTTCACTTCGCATAATGTTTCTGAGGTTCATTCAAGTTGTAGCACATATCAGTCCTTCAGTCCCACTTTATGGCCGAATAATAATATTTCACTGTATGGCTGTATCACAATTTGTTTTTCCATTCATTTAATGATGGCATTTGGGTGGTTTCTACCTTTTGATTATTCTGAGTAATACTGCTACGGACACCCGTGCACAAGTTTCTGTGAGTTCCTATGTTTTCATTTCTCTTGGCTACATACACTTAGGAACGGCCTTGTGGTCACCTGGTAATTCTGTGTTTAATGTCTTGAAGGACTGGCAAGCTCTTTTCCATCGTGGCTGGCTGATACTCTTTTTTTTTAAATTTATTTGACAGAGAGAGACACAGCGAGAGAGGGAACACAAGCAGGGGGAGTGGGAGAGGGAGAAGCAGGCTTCCTGCCGAGCAGGGAGCCCGATGCGGGGCTCGATCCCAGGACCCTGGGATCATGGCCTGAGCCGAAGGCAGACGCTTAACGACTGAGCCACCCAGGTGCCCTGGCTGATACTCCTGTAAAGCCTCAAGGCCTTGGGCCTAGGCGGCCCTGCCATGGGGCCCCAGGACTGAGGATGCCCAGGGTGTATTCTGGGCGTGATTTTCTCATGTTGGCCCCCTCTCTCTTGAGACTCCTCAAGTGACAGGGCAGAAGCAGGGCACTGCCCTCAAGAAGCCATCGGGCTCCTGGCGGGAGGATCTGAGGTCTACGGGTAGAGAGAGTGGAGGAAGAGGAGCAGGAAGCTTCTTAGTCACAACTCAAATCCTACTCCGAATCCCAGGATGACGTGATTTAAGGGCCAGACCTCCTGCATTCAAATCCGGGCCCTGCCGAGCGCTAGCTGTGTGATTTTGTACCCAGAGCCCTGGGTCCGGTTTTGCCGTCTGGGAAACGGTGATGATTCTAGGAAGCACCTTACAGGGTCTGCGGTTACATGTGTGAAAACACAGGACACGGAACCAGAGCCGCTGGAAGCCTGTTCTTGCCTCAGGCCAGGCGTCTGTCAGGGTGTCTGTCTATCTGGGACAGCCTCTACCCCAAATAAAGGCAGGACTCACCTCTGGGCCTCAGTGTCGGGAGCATGGCTGGCCGGGAGTTGGGATGGTTGGGGGGATGTGTGGGGAGTGCGGGGCACTGGCAAATATTTACCGATTCGAACAGAAGTGCTGGCTCCGTGAGGAGCTGGGTGAGGGTCATGCCTAGACAAGATGCCAGATTCTCTCCGGGGGTTCCAGCTGGCACTCAGAGCTGGAGAGGCCCAGGGTCAAACTTCTCTCTGTGGAAAATAACCAGTGCACCTTCCCGGATTGTCTCTGGCAGCCTCCCAGGTGGGGCCCATCCCTCTCCCTGCACCTTGATCCATACGTACATGCAGGAGAGCAGGAGCAAGGAGGGGAGAGAGACAGAGACAGGGACAGAGAGACAGAGAGAAAGACACTGAAACAGGGAACCAAGCACAGTAAGATACCACTACACACCCACTACAATTAATCAACGGTAGGAGACTGATAAGACCAAGTGTTGACAAGGCTATGGAGCAATTAGAACCCTCATAGGTGGTTGGTGGGGGCACAAACATGGTACAGTCACTTTGGAAGACGGGTTGGCATTTTCTTTAAAAGTTAAACATGCACTTGCCATATAACCCAGCAATTCCACTCTCAGCTATTTTCCCCAAAGAAATGAAAACACTGGGCGCGGGAGTGGCTCAGTCGGTTAAGCGTCTGCCTTCGGCTCAGGTCATGATCCCGGGGTCCTGGGATCGAGCCCCGCATTGCGTCGCATGGGGCTCCTTGCTCAGTGGGGAGCCTGCTTCTCCGTCTCCCCCTGCCCTCCCCCGCTCGTGTGCTCTCTCTCTCACCCTCTAAGAAATAAAATCTTTTTAAAAAAAGAAATGAAGGGGCGCCTGGGTGGCTCAGTCGGTTAAGCGACTGCCTTCGGCTCAGGTCATGATCCCAGGGTCCTGGGATCGAGCCCCGCATCAGGCTCCCTGCTCAGCAGAGAGCCTGCTTCTCCCTTTCCCTCTGCCTGCCCCTCTGCCTACCTGTGCTCTCTATCTGTCAAATAAATAAATAAAAAATATTAAAAAAAAAGAAATGAAAACACATGTCCACACAAAGACCTGTCTGAAAATGTTCACAGCAACTTTAATAAAGCCAAAAAATAGAAATCACGCAAACGTCCATTAATTGGTGAACGGGAAAAAAATGTAGCATACCATGTGTGGCATACTACTTTGCAGCAAAAAAGATTCTGGTTGAATCTCAGAAACATTATGTTAAATGACAGAAACCAGTAATAAATGATTCCATTTCTATGACATTCTAGAAAAGGCAAACTATAGCAATAGAAGGCAGTTTGGTGGCTGTGTGGGACCAGGGTCAGGGCACTGCCTGACTACAAAGGGGCACAAAGGAACTCTTTGGAGTTTAGAAACATTCTAAAACTTGAGGGGCCCCTGGATGACTCAGTCGGTTGAGCGTCTGCCTTCGCCTCAGGTCATGTCTGTCTTATATATTTAGCCAACTTTGTGAAACCGTACATCTAAAGGAATTCAATTGTATGTAAATTATTCCACAACAAAACTGTTTAAAAAATAAGATGACTAAAAAACTAATACTGGGAACCCACTTTTGGAAAGTATATTGTGCATCTGCAGGACTGAAAACCATACAGAGACATGCATGCAGTGGGTGCTCAATAAATGCTTTCAGGATGCAGGAGAAGCCTTATGCTCCAGTGCCCCTTAAAAGGAAAGCCCCCCCCCCTCTAGTTCAAGAGGGCCCAGGCTTAAGGTTACCCTTGTCTGCCATCTGGTGGCCAGTGTCCATCCTTCAGACCCCACTTCCAGAGGCTCTGTGGTTGGGCTTACAGGCAGTGGAGGGAAGGAAGGGGGCTTTCCTCCTGGAGAGTCTAGTGCCTGGAGAGGGCAAGTTGGCAGAGGCAGGGCCATAGCAGGACTCTTAGGTCTATGAGAAGAAGGATACAGCCTCTGAGAGAAAAAGTGCTTTGGTAGAGCAAAGAGGCCCAGTGAACACAATTTGGTATCTCTGCAGGCTGAGATCAAATCCTGTGTATGAGAGGGTTTCCTTTGCGGGCAGGGGGAGGGGGGTCGGATAAGGTGAGGGAGGGAAAAGTTTAGGGGAGGCAATGGGGTAAGCAGGGAAACTGATCATGTGGATGCCCACGGTGAGTTGGGGGAAGGTTGGCAAGGAGAATTCCAAAAGGCGAGAGGAGACCCCCTTGGATGGAGAGACCTTTGGAAGCAAGGAGACAAGAGTCTCTTCTCCTGGACTTTCTGGTCTCCCAATCCTACTTCCAGGGAACATCTCACAGATAAACATCTGTATTGATGTGCGGCAGTTGTGTAACGTTTGCCCTCCCCCACCCCCAGCCGTTTCACAGAACCACTGAAAATAAAGGCAGACTTCAGGAGGTGGGTGGCTGAGGGACCCATCTGGCTCTCCTGGCCACTGAACAGCTCGCCCAGGCTCCAGGGGCCCATGGACAAGCTCAGTCTTCTTACAAAAAAATGGAGTTGGTCACCTTGTGTGACACAGGTAAGTGACTAGGTGGGTGTTTAAATGTCAGTGGTAGATGACATTTAGTCGAGGGGACAACGGGTGGGGACAGGGACTTCTACATCCTCAGTAGTTGGTGGGCTCGGTGGCCAAGATCTTGGAGCTCCTGGGTTCCTGTCATCCAGATTTTCTACTGGCTCCGTACAAATACGAGAGCACATGGCGCTTGCTGAGAGCCAGGTGTAGGTAACATTTCCCAAATCACCGGCCTTCAAAAGGAGAGGAGAGGGAGGGTGGGGGTGGGGCCTGAGGCTCAGCGCAGTGTGAACTTCCATCGGGGTTTGCCAATGGGGGGATTCACTGAGTGTGTCTAACATGAGAGGCCCTGTGGGGGCTTGGCAACTAACAAGATGCAGTAGGTTCTTAATAAATGCTGGCTGGCTGGCTGGCTGGCAGAACGAATGAATGGCTAAGTGAAGGAAGGCAAAGCTCCTGGCTCCTTAGTGCGTGTGTGTGGGTATATCCGGCAGACCCCCACCTGCACTCGAGCCCCCCCTCCCCGGCCCTTCAGCCCCAGACACAGCAAGCTACAGCTCTGTGTGCTTCCCCTCCGCCTCCATTAGCTCCCGTGTCTTCTGGGGTAGGGTCTTCGTCCAGAACTGAAGCCTCTGGGCCTTCAGGGCCCGGCCCACTGCAGGCTGCGTGTTCAGCTGCAGGTACTGCTCTTCCTGGTCGAACACGGGCCAGTGGGGCAGACCCTCGCCGTTGGGGTCCCTGTAGACATGCCCTCCCGGCAGGGCAGGGGGAGAGTCACTCGGAGCCCTGCTGAGCCCAGACCTGGCACCCCGACTTGGGTCAGGCAAGGTGCCAAACGGGCCAGGTGGCCTTGGAGAATGACAGGGGGATGCTTCTAGATGTGGAAAGAAACTACCTCCCACTAGAGTGTCACCAGGAGGCAGGGCGACCTGGACTGTTTCTTCCCTTCCCGTCAGAGGGAGGCTCTGTGGGTAACATAGCACTGTCCCCCTCTTCCAGGTCACCTGGAGATGGATGGAGTGCCCAGCACCCACAAGGCCCCTCCCTGTCTGTGTGGGACCTGGAGCTGGGGAAGGAGCCACCATGGAATTAAGGATACACGTACGCTAATGAGGTCACAACAGAAAAGGGGGGCCCGCGAATGGGTTCAAGCACCCCCCCCGCCCTGGACGTTGGGGTGGGGTGTGATATCTCACCCATTTCGAGCAAAGTTAGCCCAGTATTTCATCATCTTCCTGCTCAACAGCTTTTCTTCCTCCGTGACTTCAACTACAGAGAGCAAGAGGGAAAGGGTCCAGGTGAAGGCCAACCCCAGGCCAGCACACGGGTCAGCCCCCACCACACTCACCAGCCCATGTGCAGCTTTTCTTTGGGCCCTCTTCTGCCCTCCCCCGGCCTGGCTCTCTGCCCACTCCCCACCCCAGCCCTGGGGCACCAGGCCCTCTCACCCCAACAAGGCTCATTCCTGACTGAGAAGGCTCTCTCCCTCCTCCTGACACCGGAAAGTGACTTAAGAAACAAATATGCCTGTGAAACACCCTCCTCTGCACCCATGCCAGGCATCCATGGTTGGGGTGGGGGGAGGTGGAGGGAGCATAGGCCCCATTCTGAAGAGTCTTGGACTCCAATTCTAGCTCAGCCTCTCTAGCTGTAAGATCTTGGGCACCTGGTCCCATCCTCTCTCTGAGCCTTGGTTTGCTCATCTGTCACCCTCACGCAGGGACCCAGGCAAGGCCCTGTCCCCCATTCTGGGAACGAGGAGTCTCTGAGGGACCCCTCCCAGGAACACTCACCGTAGCCTCTCCAAGAGAGGGTTCCGAAAACAAAGAGTAACTCGTCACCATGGTCTGCCCTCACATGGGGCGGCTTGCTGTCCTTGAGGAAGCTGGGCCGATGCTGGAACTCGTAGAAGTAGACCGGGGCGTGTAAGCCTAGGGGGTGGGGTGGATAGGCCATGACATGGTGGTCCCTTACCTGGGCTCTCCTGCATCACCCACGGTGACAAGATAGCTAGGTCTAAAGCTGGTTGGAATCTGAACAACGGGGTGAGCGAGCCCCTGGCTGGAGCGAGAGCAGTGGGAAGGACCTGGGTTCAAATCATCACCTCGGAGCTTCCTAGCTGTGTGGTTTTGGGCAAGTCACTGAAGGTCCTCATCTGTAAAATGGGGAAAACATCCATCTCTTAGACTAGCTTCGAGGATTTACTGAGATGAGGGACATCAAGTGCTTGGCACCTAAGGACCCAATACATAGACATGGGTTGGGACCTGGACACCAATAGACCTCACCTGGGACCTATAGCTCTGAGCTGCCCCCTCACTGGTCTGGCCTTATAGATGTACTCACGCTGAAAATTGGCTACTTGGAGTGTAGGGATCACGAAGATGCAGTCCCCCATCATCTCAGAGAACAGGGCTTGGAGGATCTGTGGGTCCCCACTGTCCCCCATGTACTCCTCCATCAACAGGTCAACAGACTCAGGAGGCAACGTCTACCCCAGGGGGATCAGAAATAGTCAGGTTAGGCAGGCTGGCAGTAGGAGGGAGGCAGCAGGGTCAGGTTTGGGGAGATGGATCCTGGGGTGGTATAGGGAATGGGAGGAAGGGGCCGAGCTCTGGGGTGACCCCAGCCTTTGCTCATGGGGGACAATGCATGGACAAGATATCTTGGGGCTGGGTTTTCCCATGCCTCTGGACAGGACAGGAGTCCCCCTCCATTGGGGCAAGACCCCAGAAGCCTCACCAACATTGTCGACACTTGCTGCAGGATAGCCTTCACCGTCTCTCTGTCCAATTCCTTCTGGGTGTCAAAGATGTTCATGGTCTGGGTAGTGGGGGAATCTCCAGTTGAGGGTAGGATGGGCCTAGAGCTCTGACGCCCTGAGCCCTGATTCCCCCCCACCCCCACCCCCACCCCCATGGGCCCCCGGCACCTGGGAGCTTGGGGCTGGGACTCACCGAGGGGATGAACCAGCCGTACTCATCGTTGTTGACACCAATGATGCTGGGGACAGGTTGAAAGTCAGCGGAGGCCAGAAGCTCCTGGGGGTGCCTGGGCAGGAAGGTCCCATCCACTACGCCAGGGATGACCATGAAGGGCTGAGAGGGCCCACAAAGTGAGGTCCCAGACAATTCCTGATGCGCTCTGAGTCCCGTTCACCCCCTCCCAACTCATCCAGGATGCTCACACCCCCTCCCCCAAGAGGTCCTGCCATTGGCTTAGCATGGCCTGGCCTCAACTTTCCACCCAGGGCTGTGAGGACACCAAGGTGTGGAGATGGAGTAACTTGCCCAGAGAATGTAAAGGACAGCCTCCCCACCCCTACTGGTCCCCTTCTTCCATACACACGTCCATTCAGCCCAACCTGGCTGATGGCCAGAATCTCCTCTTCAGTTTTGCCCCGCAGGCAGCCCACAAGGGCCTCTGAGTCAACCTGGCCACAGGCAGACAGGTTGGCCACCATCTGTAAAGAGACCAGGCAGGGGCTGGCTCATCCTTCCAGATAGGGGAGAAGGATTTGCCCAATGTCCCAGCCAGGAGCAGGTGCACCCCAAATCTCAAGGTATTAGGTGTGGATTCGGAGGTCTCAGCCAGAGGGGCTGGCCCACCTGCCTGGACAGTCCTGCCCATGACAGGGCCCCTTGTTATCCCCATTTAAGAGAGTAATGGAGGCTGAGAGCTAAGAGATGAGGCAGCAGTCTGGCTTCCCACAGTTGGGGGTACTCACCATGGAGACCTCATTGGATGAGCTGACAATGAGACCAGGCAACAGGGCCACACCGCTCTCCATGATGGCACGATGGAAGAGTCCTTGGGACATGGGGGACACGATATGGGAGGACACGCTTGTGCCACCCGCGGACTCGCCAAAAATGGTGACATGGCCAGGGTCTCCTCCAAAATAGGCAATATTTTGCTGGACCCAGCGTAGCGCGGCCACTTGATCCAGGTAGCCCCAATTTCCAGGTGCGTGCTTGTCTCCAGTGCTGAGAGGTGACAAGGACAAGCATGATGGGGCTGTCCCGGCTTCATTCAGCCGGCATTGCCCTGCCTAGCCCCGTCTCACCTGAAGAAGCCCAGCAGACCCAGGCGGTACTGGATAGTGACTACCACCACATTCTCAAAGGCCGCCAGCACAGAGCCATCATATAGGGAAGCCATGCCCATCACAAGCCCGCCACCGTGGATCCACACCAACACCTGGGGAAATAGAGGCACAGACACCATGTGGCTCCCACCCAGCCCAAACCCCACTGGGGCTGCTACCTGAACTCTCCACCACTTTTTTTTTTTTAAAGACTTTATTTATTTATTTGACAGAGAGAGACACAGCGAGAGAGGGAACACAAGCAGGGGGTAGTGTGAGAGGGAGAAGCAGGCCTCCCGCGGAGCAGGGAGCCCGATGTGGGGCTCGATCCCAGGATCCTGGGATCATGACCTGAGCTGAAGGCAGACGCTCAACGACTGAGCCACCCAGGTACCCGACTCTCCACCACTTTGGCTCTGTCTGCCTAAACACATAGAGCTCAGGCAGGAGAGGGTGGTGTCTTCACAACCTGGGCTGAAGGTGACCCAATTTCTATCAGGAAAACTGGGCTTCTCATACTTTGGGTCCCACACTATGTACCAAAGCCTGGCTCCATCTCTCCTGGAACTCTCTCTGAGGTGAAAAGAAAAGGGGGGTCATCCCACATGCATGTTAATTAAAAGTTTCTCCATTCTCGTTGGTCCAACAGATACAGCACCTGAGTGGGTCTCCTGGGCATGAGTTGGTTGGGTGAGTCTTGTGTCCATCCCAGGGCCATAGCTTCTGACCTCTGTGAGCAGCCAGGGTCCTATGACCCCATGCCCAAGGGTCAGCCACTCATGCTGGGTAAGAAACACTCTCTTGGACCCAACAGTGAGAGGCTTCTTAACAGGGTCCACACTGCAGGGGGCCCAGGCTGATCCTGTCCCTTCTAATCTTCTTGCAGAATCTTCTTGCAGAAGGGTGCTCCCACACCCCAGCCGGCGGGGGCCTGGCACTCACCGGCAGACTGGAAGCTTCATGGGCGTGGGCAGGTGTATAAATGTTAAGGTAAAGGCAGTCTTCGGACATGGAGGTGAAAGGCAGGGTCATATTCAACAGTTTCAAAACCACTGCATTCATGGTAGTGATGTTCTGCAGACACCTAGTGGGGCCGTACCACGGTCAAAACCAGATCCTGGGCCCAGATTTGTTACCCGTCACCTTCAGTCCCACTTCCCCCAAGACCTTGTCACACATGGTCCTTCCCTAAAGCCCCTCTGCACCAAGTCACAGGCCGCAGGCTCTGGGGAAGCTGGGAGGGAGCCCCGTCTTCCAGGGATGCCTCAAGGTTATGAAGGCCTTGCATACCAACACTCCTGAGGCTGGGAAATCTCGACTCTTGGGGGTCTCTGTGAGAGCTGTGGGTTGCAAGTGTTGACATTCAGCACTGTATTCCTGTACCCAGACAGGCGTGGAACAGGGGAGTAGCCCACATCCGTGTGCTGCCCGAATGAATGGATATTAACTTCTCATGAGAAGGGCAGTGGGACAGCCCTCAGCTCCAATCAGGCTCTCAGGCTCTCAGGGAACCTCATCTCTCCTACTGAGTTTCCAGTTGCAAGAACATACACATGCCCTTTGGCCCATGGCAGCTGGCCCTGTCACTGGCCCAGTAACTGCACACAGAGGGGGTCCTCCACTCCTCAGGGATCTACAGTACCTGCTGCTGGAGTCAAGGGCTATTACGGGGTTCATGGAGCCAACCCAAGCCTCCCCTGGTGGCAGAGAACACCTGACATGGCTAGAAGTGAGGCAGATGCGTGTCTCTGCTTTAACTGTCAAGCCTGGAGCCTGGGCAAGTTACTTTACCCTTCCAAGTGTCTGCATGCTCCTGGGAAAAATGCATGTGGGGATCCACTAAACTCAGAGGGGAGACTGGCCTTGACGGTTTAGATAAAATGACAACTGCAGCCTGGCCCAGAACTTGGAGTACCCTCCACCCTCCACTGGAGTTCCTTGGACTCCCTGCTTACATGGCTGGGTGGGAGGTCCCATCCTTTACACCACTCCAAGGTTCAGGAGGCTCGGGGGGTGCAAATCGCAGGGGCCCTAGAGGCGGCTTGGCAAAGGGAATTCCCAGGAAGGTGTGGACTCCCACATCAGTATCTTTTACATGGACGAGGCTCCCCTGCACCTGCCCGGTGTGTGTGGTCCGGATGGGGCTGGCAGAGTCCTGGCCTGTGAGCAGAGAAATGGACATCAGGGTTGAGTCTACCCATCAGCTGCCCTCCCAGGCTATTGATGTTGCTGGCTGCTTCCGGTCCTCAGCTCAAGGAACTCTGATCTACAAATACTTGCTTTACAAATTTCCTGCCTTTAATCCTGGGTGTCCACAGCACACCTCCCCCCACGCTCCCGCCCACTCCCCCAACTCTCTTCGCTGGGTCTGGCCCCAGCCTTTTCCACCACACTCGGTGAGGCTTCCTGGGACCCAGCACCATCGTTGAGCCCCAGGAGCTTCAAACAAATGGTCACATAAGCTTGAAGGGGTGAGAGTATCCTTTCTGCTGACAATGTGGATCACATGAGGCAGTAGAACTGTGGGAATTGGACACTCAAGGCTCCTGTCCCTAGGGATCTCGTGCTCTAAGTGGTAAGAAATGACATAAAGAAAGCATCTTTCAAACCAGGAGTGATGATATGGTGAGGAGAGCTATGTAAATGAGGCACCACTGTAACTAGACGGTAAGAAGGACCACCCGCCCTACTATGGGTATCAGGGAGGGAGGAAGTGACTGAGGTCGCCTAACACAAGGAGCCCAGGTGAGATTCTTAACACACAAAGAATTTCTACAAATGAATAAGAAGTGTGCCAGTTGTGCATATTTGGTGAACGAATATGAAATGGTGAGGGAATACGTTCAGAGTAAGGAATACAAATAAATGGCTCATATGCCAAGGAAGAAATGTTCACTTCACTCATGCTAAGAGAAAGACTCGCTGGAATCTGACTGTGATGTTAACAACTGACTTTGTCACAAAAAGCAAGACAGTCAGATGATGTATGTTTTCTGATGGAAGTCCATAGCCCCACATGAAGTAGTTTTGCCCCAAAACATAACAAAGCAGAACCTGAAATTGAAATCTGATCAACCCTGTAGAATACAAATAAATGAATACAAATGTACAGCCACGCATACCAGGGGCAGGGAAACAGTTAAAAGACACCATATGGATGTAATCAGCAAAGCCCAAACTCTGGGATCCTCTCCAGAACAACTAAATTGGTTTCTTCGATATAAAAACAAAATTACAAGGAAAATAAAAGAGAGGCAGAGGGAGACTGAAGACTCAAAGAGAGTCACATAAAAAAGGCTGATAATAACACACATTGGTAAGGATGTAGAAAAACTGGAACCTTCACACCTTGCTGGTGAGAAGGTAAAGTGGTGCAGGTGTTTTGGAAAGCAATCTGGCAGTTTTTCAAAAAGTTAAACATAGAGTTACCATACGACCCAGCAATTCTACTTCTAGGCATAAGCCCAAGAGAACTGAAAACATACATCCACGCAAAAACCTGCATGTGAATGCTCATAGCAGGATTATTTACAATAGCCAAAAAGTGGAAACAATCCAAATGTCCATCAACTGACAAATGGATCAATAAAATGTATCCCGCCTGTACAATGGAACATCATTCAGCATACAGAGAAAAAAGTACTGAACATGTTAACATGGATGAACCTTAAAAACCTTACGCTCAGTGAAAGAAGTCCGTCACAAAGAATCACATATGGGATGATTTCATTTATATGAAATGCCCAGAACTGGCATATCCATAGAGACATAAAGCAGATTGGTGGTTGCCTAGGGCTCAAGGTGGGGGAAAGGAGGAATCGATGTGCTGAACTTTTGAATATACTAAAAACCATTGAATTGTATACTTTAAACAGGTGAACGTATACTATGTGGATTATATCTCAAAGCTGCAACACATCTACCAATTTTCAAAGTATGGACCTTATTTGAATCCTGATTTAAAAAAAAAACCCTGCTAGTATCATTTATGAGATAATATGAAATAGGAACATTTAGCTAGATACTTGATTACATTAAGAAATCATGGTATTGTTATATGTATATATATTCCTTTTCTCTTAAGAAGACATAGAAATATCTACAGATGATATAATATCATCTACAGATGATATAATTTGCTTCATATAATGGTGCAAGGAAGAGGTGGTCGTCTAGACAACACCAGGTTGCTCAGGTCTTGATAAACACTGAAGGTACGTCATGGATTCAGTGGGTGTGTTATACTGTTCTACCACAGACCGGAAACCCTTTGGTGCTGTGTGACTGCAGGCAGCACCAACCCTCTCTATCCCTCAGGGTGCATGGAGATAAGCAGTCAGGCTCCCAGTTTCCCTGGTGTCATCTCCACCAGCTCCTGCCTGCCTGGAGCTTTCCTTCCGCAGGTTCAGGTTCTGCTTCTGCAGAATTTGGCCAACCTGAGCCTGGTTCATAATAAAAAGTAAAAAACAAAACCAAAAAACAGCCTCAGGGATCTATACTACCTACAGATCAGAGACAACAGGGCATGAGGGACCTTGAGGTGGACCCAGAAACTGAGTCCTGAAAGCAAGGAAGAGCTCTCAGGAGTGGGCAGTCCCACCTCCCTGCCTTTCCTCATACGGTCCCCTTCACCCTGAACAAAGGTCGTTCCCATTTCTACATCTGGGGGAATCCTGATCGTGCACCCCTTCACGGAAGCTCTCCCGGGTTCCCCAGTCACAGCTTATTGCTCCCGCTCTCCAGCCCCGAACACCCTTATCAGGCCTGTGACCATGAGGACAGTGAACTCAGTGACTCCAGTTTTGAGGAGAGGGTTGTTGGTATTGTGGAGGGGCTGCAGAAGCCTCGCCGCCCCTTCTGAGGAAGCCCAAGGGGGTCTGGGCAGAGGGGAAGTGGCCATGCAGTGCCCGCCTGTCACTGGTTTTTGCCTGTTCAGAGCCCACTCCCCTGCCAGACCCACCTTTCCCTTCGCAGCTCGCCTGCCTATTCCCTGCTCAGATCACCTACTGGATCAACACTGATGCACATGCTTGATGCCAGAGCATGTGGATAAGGCCAGGTCAGCAGCCGCTCACAGGTTCCACAGAGGGCAACTGAGCAATGTCTTCCCAAGTCAAAGGCCCACCCCTCCCCCCAGTAACATGCTGTCTACACAGGTGGGATATCTGTCCACGTAATTCACTGTGGCCACTGGCCTCCAATGCCTGAAGGTTGTTGTGGCAAAGGACACAACCTGTTGAAATGTCCTGATCAGAAGCCAGTTACATTAAGGATGCTTCCTCTTTGAAGAGAAACCCTTGCAGGAAACGGTATGAGGAAGCTCTAGCATGTATAGCTGTGGGGAGGTCACCCCCTATGTCAGGAAGTGGAAAAGCTGTGTGCTAGAAAGGGAGGGAGTTTGTGATCATTTAGGTGAAAACCAAGGATGTGTGCATCCTCTGTGCATCCTCAGGAGTAAATTCCTGAGCAGTGTGTAGAAGGCCCTGGGGATCCTAATGGTCCCTTTGCTCTGGAGACCAAAAGGTGCCCTCACCCGATAGATGCATGGGGTGAATAGGATATGACAATCTCTCCAACAGACAGGCTTTAGGATGCAGGGGTGTGGGCTTGCGCAGTCAGATTCCTCAAGAGCCAGTAATCTTGACTGGAGCCCCTTTGGAGGGGCACTTGGCAGGTGCTGGGACACCCCTCTGGCCAAGGGCGCAACACTCAGAGCCAAACCGTGGCAGGAAGATAATTATTATTTTTCGCAGGCAACGCTAGCTCTACCACAAACACTAAGAAGGAAACGTCCTGAATCACAATCACCACTCCCGCCTGAATCGCCAGGTGCCGCTCAGAGCTCCTGACCTCGCTTGCCCCTCCGTACAGTGTGACCTTGGTCAGCCACGACCCTCTCTGCACCTCAGGGGGCCCAGCCAGGGGTTTCGAAGCATTGGGTCTGGTGCAAGTTTCCCCATACTGTGGTTCTCCACCCTCATCCACCTCCCTGGGGCCTTCCCTCAGGTCCTGCCTCTGCAGAATCTGGCAAATCCCACCCCAGTCCTTGCCGCCCCTCGAAAGAGCCTCACCCTGGCCCAGGACGAGGAAAAGCAGGAGCCCACAGACCACGGCGTTCAGCCGCACGCGAAGTCGGTCCAGCAGCATGGTCTATTCGCAGCACATTGCTCTTTTCACCCAAAGACTGCCCTGGTGCCCATCCAGGGCAGTTCAGAGTGTCTCAACCAGGTCTGGAGTTTGGACTGGTCTGGGAGTAGGCGGGGCTAGCTGGGCAGAGAAAGCAGTGGGGGGCGGGGAGGCGCACTGAACAGCAAAAACCAGTGACAGGCGGGCACTGCATGGCCACTTCCCCTCTGCCCAGACCCCCTTGGGCTTCCTCAGAAGGGGCGGCGAGGCTTCTGCAGCCCCTCCGCAACACCAACAACCCTCTCCTCGAAACTGGAGTCACTGAGTTCACTGTCCTCATGGTCACGGTTCCGGGCTGGAGAGCGGGAGCAATAAGCTCTGACTAGGGAACCCGGGAGAGCTTCCGTGAGGGGGTGCACGATCAGGATTCCCCCAGATGTAGAAATGGGAACGACCTTTGTTCAGGGTGAAGGGGACCGTATGAGGAAAGGCAGGGAGGTGGGACTGCCCACTCCTGAGAGCTCTTCCTTGCTTTCAGGACTCAGTTTCTGGGTCCACCTCAAGGTCCCTCAAGCCCTATTTTCTTTAATCTGAGGGTCTCCGCGGGCCTCCTCCCTATTCAGCCACAGCCTGCCTTTTGAAATGCATCCATGACTGTGGCATTATCTTAAGGACAACCGCAACCCAATCCTATGGCTTTCCCTCTCCCCACCTCCCGCAAAGATCGGACACTTTGGACTCTGCAGGGCACTCTGGGGCCCAGGTAGAATGGGCGGGGCAGAGGTGCCTCACCGGGAGGCTCCGAAATGCAGTAAACGGTGCCAGGACAGAGGACCCTTGGTACGCGGGGACCCGCCCAGCCTGAGGGCCGACTTCCTGGAGGAAGTGGTGCCCGAAGATACGCCTGGCCGGTCTTTAGTGTCCCCGAGAGCCAGCCGTGGCCTCCGCCGTCCAGCACCTAACCTACGGGCTCGAACGGCCCCGTGCCGCTCAAGTGCCTTCTCTGTGTATTCGCCGGGGCGGTCTGCATTTTTCCGGGTTAACGTACAGAGGGCACCGAGGCCACCGCTCCGCCTCAAAACACAGGTCGAGTACGGGCACTGCAGCCTGTCACACAAGCGACCCCGCCGCCACGCCACGCCCCCTGCCCGTTCCCCGGAAGTGCTCCTGCAGGAGCGGAAGTGCGCGCCTACAGCGGCCGACGCGGTTTCGGGATGGTGGGCGGCGGCGGCGGGGTAGGGAGCGGCCTCCTGGAGAACGCTAACCCCCTCATCTACGAGCGCTCTGGGGAGCGACCGGTGACCGCAGGCGAGGAGGACGAGCAGGTTCCAGACAGCATCGACGCGCGCGAGATCTTCGATATCCGTCGCTGCCGCGCGCGGGCGGGTTCGCGGGGTCCTGGGAGGGGGCTGAAGTGATGATGTCCAGCAGTTAGTGGCGCTGTATCAGGGCCGGGCATTCCCGGCGGAGGGCTCTGAGTGGACCAAGGCACAGAGTCCCTTTTCCTTAACTTGCCACATCTGATTCGCTCCATTAATGACCCGGAGCATCCACTGACACTGGAAGAATTGAACGTAGTAGAGCAAGTCCGGGTTCAGGTGAGTCACAGCGTCCGAGAGGGGCAGATGGTTCGAAAGAGTCAGAAAAGCTCATCTGTACCAGGAGACTGGCGTTCTGTCGGCTCACGGACTCGTCAGGGGGTCTTCGGAAGGGGGTGGATTGTTGTGCCCATTTCGTGGATAAGGAAACAGGCCCCTGGAGGTTAGACGATTTGCCTGAAGTAACATAGTAAGAAGAAGGGAGTGCCTTCTGAGATCCCATTCTTCAACCAGGTGAGCGATCCTGAGAGCACGGTGGCCGTGGCCTTCACACCCACCATTCCACACTGCAGCATGGCCACCCTTATTGGCCTGTCCATCAAAGTCAAGCTTCTTCGATCCCTTCCCCAGCGTTTTAAGGTAAATTGGAACTGAGCCCCCGGGGTAGGACAGGGGTGAACTTCTGCTTCTGAGGAAGACATGGAGAGCATGAACGTGAACATCAGAGTGAAGCCTGCACGGATCCCAAGTAGTGGTGATGAAACTGGGAGGAGCCTTTCCAATTGAATGGGACAACAGATATAAAGGCCTGTGCTGGAAAGTGCAGAAAAGTAGTGAGTGTGGCAGGAAGGGGACGAGGAAGCTGTAGATAGATTTGGAGCATGGATGGGGCAGAGGCAGGCCTTTAAGTCAACAGTAGCAGCCAGTTCTTTGGGTAGAGATGGAGTGGCTGTGGGTGGGTTTGGGGCATAATGGAAGGTCCAGAGTCCACAGTCACGATTAGGAGGATCAGTGGAAGGTGATGAGTGGGGGGAACCGGGACGAGGGGATAGATAGGTGATAAATCCTCACACCCCCCCTCCCTCCCTCCCAGATGGATGTGCACATTACACCGGGGACCCATGCCTCGGAGCATGCAGGTAAGTGTGGGCTGATGTTGAGGCGTTGTCCCTGAGGCTTCCCCCTTGCCATGGTGGTTTGTAGGGCAAGACGGAAGGAGGAGGGCTGGGTGGGTGACTCCTCAGTGGAGGTGGCAGCCTAGAGTGAAGCTGGCTTAAGTGTCCTATGCTTACCATGTTCTTCCAATCCTGCCCTCTCCCTCTAAGTACACAGGACCAGGGTGTGTCAGACCTAATAGTACAGGGGGCAGCAGGTGGTTTGGGTAGCTTGGTTGAGGCTTGGGGTCCTGGGAAGGAGGTGACAGGAGGTTGGTGCAAGTGTGTATGTATATATACAAGGGTTAGAAGTGGAGCTGGTTGGCAGGCTGGCCAGAGCCGGGCTTTGATCCTTCTCCATTCCTTTCCCATCCAGTGAACAAGCAGCTTGCAGATAAGGAACGGGTAGCAGCCGCCCTAGAGAATACCCACCTGCTGGAGGTTGTGAACCAGTGCCTGTCAGCCCGCTCCTGAGCCTGGCTTCTTGCCCCCAGTCACACCCAGGTCTCATGGCCTTGTTTTCTTGAATCACTGACAATGAGAAACTAACATTTTGCATTTTGTAATAAACCCTTAATTTATATTCATTTTCCCAGTGTGTCTCAGAATCTTTCATCTTGGGTCATCCCGGGTTTGGGAGGAGATGGTAATCGTGAGTGCAAGTTCCTATACAGGCTGGGATGATGAGATACAGTGCATTTTTAAAATTTCTTCCAATGGTTTCATTAGGAAAAGTTGCAAGTATACAAAAAAATTGAAAGAGTAGTGAACACCCTCTATATCCATCATCTATATTTAACACTTGTTAACATGTTGCAACATTGGCCTTATTTATGTGTGTATGTATAATATAAATGTATTTGAGAGTAAACTGTAGACACATGAGCCTTCACTTCCTAAGTACTTCATCCTGGTCTCCTAAGAGTAAACCTGTATAACCATAGTACTCTTACCTGGCCAAAATTGAAAAATTCTCTACCACCATCTAATATCCAATCGTTTATAAATTTCCCCAAAATATCGTTCATCGTTGTTGTTGTTTTTTCTTTAAATCAGGCTTTGGGGCACCTGTGTGTCTTAGTTAAGCATTTGACTCTTGGGGCGCCTGGGTGGCTCAGTCGTTAAGCGTCTGCCTTCAGCTCAGGTCATGATTCCAGGGTCCTGGGATCGAGCCCCACATCGGGTTCCCTGCTCTGCGGGAAGCCTGCTTCTCCCTCTCCCATTCCCCCTGCTTGTGTTCCCTCTCTCGCTGTGTCTCTGTCAAATAAATAAAACCAAAAAAAAGAAAAAAATTGACTCTTGATCTCAGCTCAGGTCTTGCTCTCAAGGTCTCAAGCTCGAGCCCTGCATTAGGCTCCATGCCCAGTGTGGAGCCTACTTAAAAAAAAAAAAAAAAAAAAAAATCAGGCTCCAGTGATACTTTATGTATTGTATTGGTATCTCTCTTTAGCCTCTTCTAGAACTGTCACCCCACTCCTCATCTTTTGATCTTTTTTGACATTGACTTTTTTGAAAGTCAACTCAGATGAGTTGTCCTGAAGTCCTGCAATCCGTGTTTCTTTGCTACGTTTCCTATAAACTAGAAGTTGATTGAGTTGAGATTTGAGTTTATTAATGAGAACCTTGCCCAAGAGTTTTGTCTGTATCCGCTAGCATCCACCAGTAGCTGTGCGATGCCTGCTTGTCTCACTGTTGGTGATGCCCGGTCTGGTCCCCTGGTCAGGGCAGTGACAGCCAATTTCTCTGTTCAAAGGACCCTGAAGTGCCCTCTTCACCAGCATCCCCAGAGATGTGTGTCACTTCAGGTGCTGAGGTCTGGGCCCTCTGCCTCCCCCAACCCTGTGCCCAGAGCACAGTCGGTCACCAGCATGGACCATGGGTTTGGATCTGGGATCAGCCAGTTAGAAACTATAATGCTGTGATTCCCGGCCTCAGTTTCTTTCTCTGAGGATAAATAGGAATATTAAGCCTTACCCTGGCCACTTCTTCCCTGCGAAGGCTCAGGTGTGATTGTGGGCAGAGACTTCCAGAGGCTCTTTGCAGATCTGTTGAGGGTTGCTGACAACATTGAGCCTGTCCTGAGAGTGGGCACTAGCTGAAGGTCAATCCTCCACCCAGCCCTGCGAGGCAGTTGCCTATTTCACAGATGAGGAAACGGGCTTCTGAAATAAATAACTCACTCCCCAAGACCTCCAGCCAGGGAGTAAAGAGGAACCTGAGCAGTTTGGCACGTACTCCTCAGCTGGCAGGGGGCGCTGTTGCCTGGATGGAAGGGCCTACGCCCCCACTGTCCCCCCACAGCTGCCAGCCCCCAATTCCAGGAAGGAGGGGCTTTGCCACCTAGTGACCAAGATCTGGCTGCCCACGCTTAGAGAGATGAAGTCATCAGCCCACATTCCCCAGTTTCTTCCTGTGTAATGTGGGCATAGCTGTGACGATCACTTGGGACTGCTCTGTGAAGATTTAAAATGGATCTGCACCCATTTCAGGTGATCTTCCAGGCACTGTACCCCCTCTCCAACCTTTCCAGAAAGGCAGGGTGACCAACCAGAGCCCCTTGGGCCCAGGGAGCATTCCCAACCACCTGTATCCAGCTGTGGGCTTCACCATGTGTGTACCTCTGCCCTGCCAACCCCAATCTGTCTAAGGTGTCTGTGGCGTCTGTGTTCAGCTGGGGTTGGGAAGTCATGGGGGAGGTAGGTGTCACTGAGTCATTCAGCTAGCCCTCCTGGCAGCCAGGCCATGGTGGGCAAGG